AGATATGAGATGAAAATCGGATAGAGATGAAATCGTTTAGGGATGAACGGGTTTAAGAGTTTTTAAGAGTTTTAGCCAAATGCTTTATAAGATAGTATAGATATAGATTTTTTTTATAATTTAATTTAAGTTTAATAATAAAATAATTTATTTTTGGTTTAATAATATAATATTTTATAAAAATAATAATTAAGTATTCTGTTAGAACTCAATTATTATCTTAATTATATTTTAGATTTTTTATATTTAAAATGATATGTTTATCCTTGTATTTGATTGTGTTTATCTGCAGTTAGTTACACGAATTTAGATATGAAGCTTTAATAAGTTGTATCTACGCACAATTTACTTGTAATCTTGAGTTTTGTCAAATGATTTATAATATAGAATATATTTTTTCTATATATAATTTAATTTAAGTTTAATAATAAAACAATTTATTTTTAGTTTAATATTATAAATTTTATAAAGATAATAATTAAGTATTCTGTTAGAATTTAATGATTATACTAATTATATTTTAGATTATTTATATTTAAAATGAGATGTTTATCATGTATTTGATTGTGTTTTTCTGCAATTAGTTACACGAATTCAGATATTGGATGAAATCGAATAGAGATGAACGACTTTAAGAGTTTTAGCCAAATGCTTTATAAGATAATATAGATATATATATATATATAKATATATATATATATATATTATATATATTATATGTATATATATATACACACACCAAACACTTATTATGGGGGACATGACTATGGTCTGAAAATGATTGATAAGATAAAAAAGCATGGAGAGTTTTGCCTTTACCAGAAAAAAGTCATAAATTCAGCTGCCACGTGACCAACAAACTGTTTTCACCCTCCAATCAGACCTTTTTTTCTTTGACTTTTTAGAAAACGAGTTATCGTGCCATGTAATTGCATTTTCATGTAATTCTCTAAAAAGAAAAATAATATATTGATTAACAGATATTTGTTTTATAATTAATTTGTTTAATATTTATTCGGTTCAAAAATATATCAACAAGGTTCACATTTTGAACCGAGTGTATATAAAACAAACATATTATGACACAAACATATTATAAAACAAATATATGTTAAAAACTATATTAAATTTTAGCCATAGATGAAAATAAATCATATGAAATAACATATCATACACTAGTTCTCAAAGATACCATGATTTAAAGAATTCTCAAAAAAATACCCTCTATTACATTTAATATAATTTAATTTTCTCTTTAAACATTTAATTTCCAAAATTCATAATGACGATAACAACATTTTTCTCTTCTAAACAATCATTTTCGAGGATTCTTTTAATTGATGTTATTTTACATTCAAACAACAAAAAGTTCATAAAGATGGCCAAAAATCGGTTCTAAGCTGATTCTGAATCCGTCACTTCAAAACTCAGTCAGTCTATCTCGGGCCGAGACGAGTGAGTCCCAAATAGGTCCCTTCAAAATCGGGACAACCAGTCCAATAAAAAATTCTAGGACTAATCTAAGCCTAGTTTCTGGTCTTTTGGCTTGGTTTTAGAAAATATATTTTAAGATATTTTTACACAAGAATGTTATACATGTTTTCGTAATTACGATTTTTGAAGTTTACTATTGAAATATACTTTAATTAATACCTGTAAGTATATAAAATTTTGAAAAAACTTACATTGAGATATATCAAAACTTATTTTGTTTTTGAAAACTGAGTCTATACATAACTAGTCCTGGTCCCATAATCGGTCTGGCTTTAAAATTCCACAAAATGTGTAAGTGGTCCAGACTGTCGAACCATAATCGATCCTTGCTAGTTCCAATTTATCTTATGTCAGGCCCCGATCGCAGACCGGGTCGAACTTGATTTTGTCATCTCCATTTATAAGTTTATAACTCTCTTTTACAATAAGTTCGAAAAATACCTTAATTTCATTATAATATATTCTCTTGGGCCCTTGGCCCACTTAGCATTTCTCTCATTGAGCCTCTTGAATCTTGATCATCTCGTCTTTGAATCGTTTTTGGCTTAATTAAGTTACTTCATTTTATACACCTATCTAATTAATATATTTTAGTTAATTAATTTCTTATATTAAAGGGTTGTTTGTTTACCTCTTAATAGTTTCATTAAGAGGCAACCTCTGAATCATTAAGAGGTGAATCTTGTTTGACAAAAAAAAAAAAATATGCCTCTTAATAGTTCTAAAAGCCTCTGAATGATTTTGTATCATGAATCTATCTTAACCATTAAGAGCCCTACTTTCATTGTACACAATTACCAAACAATTATATTTCATTTTGCACTATATCATGAGAGCCTCTTAATCATTCTGACGATTTAATCATTCTGCACCAAACCATTCAACAATTGTCAAACAGCCCCTAAATGTGTTCCAAGTTGTCTAACCTTTTTAGTCTTTAGGTTATCGTCATGTTGATAATAATAATAAATTACACTTATGATTACAAGTGATAAATGATATATATCGAGTATCGATTATCAATATATTATTGTTACATAAATAATAATAAAAATTAATGATTCAATCATTAGTTTACGTAGTTACTTGAATGTATATATTGTCTCTTTGTTTTAGATGTCATCATTAATTACATATTCCATGTCAATATTGTTTATATTATATCTTTATGCGAGGGATCAGCGAGAGAACTAGCTTAATAGACCAAAAAAATGATAGATTCTAATATCACATATTAATTATCTGTATATATGTTTTTGGTCTTATTGTAAAGGTACTTAGGTACACCAAACATGGCTCTCGTTATAAAAGATGAACAAAGTTATTTATGATTAAAAGTCCCACCAATAGGATATTGTCAAACACCAGATAATTATTACGTCACTGTGTTACAACATGACTAGATATAAACCTCATGACTATCAAATCAAAGAACGTTACATACATTGACCACATCACATGAAAAACACATGACATACCATGTAGTGTTGATCTCATAGTAGGTACGTCAAATACACAAATTCACTAACTTATACACATATATGTATCACATATGTGTCATATAGTTTCTGTATACGACAATGTTAATCGTATTACTTCAAACTACGTCAAAAACAATATTTAGAGCATTCTTAACGATCGGGCTTTTACGTTAATTTTTTTTCTCTAAAGTGTTTGTAATTGCATAAATAAAATGGTTTTTTGTAAGAGGATTTTTGATATTCTTGTATGGCCAAAATGCTTTTTAATAATTAATAAGCTCTACTTTCACATTCTCATGTGATCAAAATGCTTTCTAATAAGATCTATTGTAAATGCTCTTAAACATAGTCTTGATTTATGAGCCGTTTATCAAATGCTTACCCAGGTAAGTACTTACTAAGTCACATTACCTTATGGAATGAATATGATAAGGACCAAGAATCTTACCTGGTAAGAGAGAGAGACAAGGACCGAGAGTCTTACCTGGTAAGTGAGGGAGACGACTCTTACCATGGTAAGCTTACTGGATAAACTGTTGCATACGATATCGTTTTGGTGGACTAAAGTCTTACCTAGTATGTAGGTGATAGTGTTAAATTTTACCGATAAACGCTTACCAGATAAGTGTTTGGTAAACAACCCCTTAAAATCATTTATATTAAGATTGTTACAATATTTATATCATGATTTAACATTTTTAATTACAAATCGTATGATAATAAGGTTTTTTTATATACTATTGACTAATATAACATTTTTGAGGAATGATACATCAAGAACATATGCTTTATCTACTAATTTTGAAGTCAAAATAATTTCTTTCACTCATTTTCCAACTGATTGATGGTAAGAGTTTATAATCAGATAAACATTAATTGGATAACACTTTCAATTATCATTTATTGTTTTACCGAATAAAATTCTCAATCTCTTTTATATTATCGGGTAAGATAATTGAACTGATAAATGCTCAGTAACTAAGGGGGTGATTGAGATTGCCTATTTGAAATAACCTATATTTTTTATAAAAGTTCTTATCAACTTATCATAGGTTAGAATGATTTAATTTCATTAAAAATTTCTTATTACCGGTTTAACACCGATATAAACTGTTTATCTACACATTAAAAAATACTTATTACGGTATCCCATCGAAATAATTCAATAATTTATTTTTACAGGAATCTCGAACACCCGTGAATGTTTGTTTAGTAAAGGGAATGACTCAATTTGACCGTTGCGTATTTTATAGAACTTCTAATTTGACCCGCAATTGAAACACAAAAGATGAAGGAAGACCAACTGAATTCGTGGCAACACCCTGGCTGGCCATGGCGACACTTGTTCATACCCTACGCTCTTCAACCCCTAAATCTCGTCTCTCTTCCATCCACCTATCCTTCCGTCGCCGATCCCCTGCCGTTGCCTCCTTTTCCGACCAAGTACCGTCGTCAATTTCAACCACAATCAAAGACAATCCTCTCTTAAAGGACTTCAAGTTCCCTCCGTTTGATGTTATCGATGCTTCACATGTGCGCCCTGGGATGCGTGCCTTGCTAAAGAAGCTAGTAAGTGTTTTTGTGATTAGTGTTTACTGATTCTGGTTATTTATGAAATTAAGATATAAATTTGCAGGACAATGATTTGACGGAGTTAGAGAAGACGGTGGAGCCGACGTGGTTGAAGCTGTCGGAGCCGTTGGAGAGGATAATTGATAGGTTGAGTGTGGTTTGGGGAGCTGTTAATCATCTCAAGGCTGTTAAAGATACTCCTGAGCTTCGTTCTGCCATTGAAGAAATTCAGGTGTTTGTATATCGTTTTTCGTTTGGTTGATTTCTTAGTTAAAATGTATTTCACACCATGCAAAAATCAATCCAAGTTGATTGACGGGTTCCTTTGACTATGAAAGAGTAAGGGGCCGTTTACTAAACACTTACCGGGTAAGCGCTTATCAAGTCACATTACCTCATGGGATGAATATGGTAAGGACTAACCTGGTAAAAGTGAGACAAGGACCATGAGTCTTACCCGGTAAGTGAAGGCGACCGACTCTTACTATGGTAAGCGCTTACCGGGTGAATTGTTGCATGCAATGTCGTTTTGATGGACTAAAATCTTACCCGGTAAGTAATTAATAGTGTTAAATTTTACCGGTAAGCATTTACTGGGTAAGTGTTTGGTAAACGGCCCCTAACTTGAGGTTTTGATTCAGTGATGTTACTCAAACTTGTGTGCAGCCTGAGAAAATCGCATTTGGCATAAAGTTGGATCAAAGTAAACCAATTTATAATGCTTTTAAGGCTATAAAGGAATCACACGACTGGGCAACCCTAAGCAATGCTCGTAAACGCATCGTAGAATGTAAGTATCATGAAATTCATCTGTTTGATAGAGAACAATTGTTATTTTCTTATATGTATTGCTGAACTTTTATGATCTTGACCCTAAAGATTATATATATTTTTTGATTAACCTGGATATCCAACCCGCTATGCGAGCCGACTAATCCCAGGGCGACCACCTGCTTTGCAAATTGCCCGGAGTCACCGCATTTGAATCTCCGTGGCCACAAGGGGATTTTTATTCCTCCTTGGATTTAAACCTGGGACCTCCTGGTACTTTTGACCTTTGGAGCCAAGCTCAAACCAATCAGGCACCACCCTTGTGGTTATAAAGATTATATTGTAACTCTTATCTAAAGATTCAAGTTGTACTTGTGGCATCTGATTTTGGTTTAGAAGGAATAGAGATTTTCTGTATCGAAACATCATGTTTCATCTTTGTCCCACCAATCATGTACCGATACAAAAGCACTTTGTTAAATATATATTTATTCTCACTCTTCAATAAAAATGCTGATGTGTCACCACATGATTGGTGGACAAGGTGGTACATTGGGGTTTAGGGTTTAGTGTTTAGATGATTCATTGTCTATGGATCATATAAAATATTTTATTTTCTTCTTTATTCTAATTAAGTGTGGCATCTCTCTGCAACTTGTCTACACATGCAGCATCGATAAAGGAAGCTGTTCTCAGGGGTATCTCACTTGAGGCTAATGAAAGAGAGGAGTTTAATAACATTCAACAGGTGTGTTTATGCTATCCAGGGTAATCAGAACTGATTCTACTTAGGGGCCGTTTACTAAACGCTTACCCAGTAAGTACTTACCGGGTAATTTTCCTTACCAGATGAACATGGCAAGGGCCAATAATCTTACCCGGTAAGAGCGATGATAAGGATGGAGAGTCTTACCCGATAAGTGAGGGTGACGACTCTTACCTGGGTAAGCCGCAAAAGCTTACAAGGTAAATTGTTGCATTTCTGATGTACTACAATCTTACCCAATAAAATAAATTATAGTGTTAACTTCTAACATTAAGCACTTACCGGGTAAGCATTTAGGTAAATGGCCCCTTAGTTAGCTTAATTTTTATGTTTATTACCTTAAACATTTTGGTTACTGTTATTTACTTTACATAGTTGACCACATTATTCTTGAGCAAAATCATGAACCTTATATTTACTTCGATTTGAAATTTACTACAACAAAATCAAGTTTATAGGACGCCAAAAGTGTCTAGGTGTTCTAATAGACTACTTTATAGGAACATACATTTGTGTGTCTTATCTAAAAGTGTTATAATAAGTTTATAGGTCGCTTTTAGGCCTCTTAATAAGCTTTTTAGGACATTTTGAAACACAGTGTCTTATTAAAGTGTCCTATAAACACATCTTTTTATAGGACACTTCTTTTATGAGAGACTTTTTCAAATACTATCCTATAAAAAGACTAGTATGACATTTTGTTTCAAAAATATCCTACAAAAGCTTTTTAAGTCGCCCAAAAGTGTCATTTAAACTTATTACAACACCTTTAGATAGGACAAACAAGTGTTTGGTCCTAAATTTGAGTTCTATAAAGTAGTCTGTTAGGACACTCGGACATTTTTGGTGTCCAATAAACCGGATTTTGTTGTAGTGAAAGTGAAGCAGTTGCATGATGCTTTATTGTAGTTAACGTTAATTGTTTGACATTTATCATGACTTGGTTCCAGGAGTTGGCAAAACTTTCTAAAAAATATGGGGAAAATATCATGGATGCCACAAAGAAGTACCGAAAATTAATAACAGATAAGAAGGAAATTGAAGGATTACCTGCTACTGCTCGTGGATTTGCTGCACAAACGGCCTCGTCTGAGGTTATAATAAGAAGCCTGATTACTTGTTTTCATATGCTTCCAATTTAGTACGACGGTATCAACTTCTGCTTTATCCTTTATGACTATCCAGGGTCACGAAAATGCCACTGCAGAAAATGGGCCTTGGATGATTACATTGGATGCTCCAAGCTTTGTGTCTGTTATACAACATGCTAAGAATCGAGCTTTGCGAGAGGAAATTTATCGTGTTTATGTAACGCGTGCTTCAAGCGGAGATCTAGATAATACTCCAATTATTGACCAGATTCTGAAGCTTAGGTTGGCAAAGGCTAAGCTTCTTGGCTATAATAACTATGCAGAGGTTTAAAAAACTTGCTTTCTTTTGACATCTTACACTACAACAAAGTCTAGTTTATAGGACGCCGCGAGTGTTCAAGTGTCCTAATAGACTACTTTGTAGGACTTAAGTTTATAGGACCAAATCTAAAAGTGTTCTAATAAGTTTCTAGGACCAAATCTAAAAGTGTTCTAATAAGTTTCTAGGACACTTTTAGGAGTCTTAACAACTAACAAGCTTTTTAGGACACTTTCGAAACAAAGTGTCCTAACAGCCTTTAGACTTTCTATAGGATGCTTGTTTTATAAGAGACTTTTCAAATAGTGTCCTATGAAAGGGTTAATAGGACACATTGTTTCGAAAGTGTCTTGAACAACTTTTTAAGATGCCTAAAAGCGTCATAGAAACTTATTAGTCCTATAAAGTAGTCTATTAGGACATTCGTACAATTTTAGTGTCCTATGAACCCAATATTGTTGTAGTGTCTGCTGCAACCAAAGTAAGCTTCTTATCTGTTATATATATATTATTGGCTTCTTATTAATCATCAGTTAAGCATGGCAACCAAGATGGCTACTGTTGGTAAAGCAGAAGAGCTTCTCGAAAAGTTGAGGAGTGCTTCTTGGAATGCTGCAGTTCAAGGTAATGTACCACACATGCTTTCATAAACACACCGATGCATGGGCTGCACTAACCCTTGCTGGGTGTTTGTTGCTTAACTGAATTGGAATGCCTAAAAATACCAAAACACACTAGTATGACAATGCTCGTGTATGCTTGAAATTTTTTAGTTAATAATCTAGACCAAATCTAGTATATCTCACTCGAAAGAAGGGCATAGGAGGGGTAAGATGTATGCAGACCTTGCCTCAACCATTAGGATAGAGAGGCTGTTTTCGTGAAGACCCCAGCTTGTGAACGAAGCAAAGGTGTGTCAAACCGACAGAAATTAGGTAATAGAGCAGGTAATTGGGATTCAGGTGTGCAAATAGACAATGTAATCAGGTAACACATGTAATACAATTAGACTCGACACACGGTGCCTATTTGCCTTATCTCTACCCTCCTCTCAATACCCTTGACGTCACTCTCTTCTAAAAAATCGGCCACTCTAAGTCCTTGGGAATTTTTTTCCTCGTATACTATATAGTATATAGTATAGTTCAAAAATATCAATAAATAAAAGGGATACAGGTTTTTTTAGTTTCTAATATGAACCCCAAAAAAATTAAGCATTATATTAGGGCTCAAACATGTTTAATTAATTATATTGGAGAAGAAAATATGTGAGAAATAATTGGTGTTCCATTTTATAGTATTCCTTATTGTTTTCTTTAAAAAAAGTTATCTACTATTAAAATCTAAAACTGTTTTGCCTAGAAATCATTGATATATTCTCCATCAATCATCTCCCATCAACTCTTTTGATCCCCCTCCACATGAATTCTATTTTTGTATTAGAATATAGTAGATTTCTTGTTATTAACTAAGAAATCCCCTATCTTTGGAAAAAAATTATCAACTATATGAGACGATCCGACTTATATCTATATTTAGGATTTCAAAACTAACATTATCTTTTCATACATTATATATTGACTCCTTATTACCTAATACCGAGTGCATGAATTTTAATTACTCTCATCTATACTATATATAAAACATTTTTATGCATCAAGTACTGTTTATTGATGTATATTACTTAAAAGTACAAGATTATAAGTAAATTGTGCGTAAGTACAACTTATTAAAGCATCATTTTTGAATTTGTGTAACTAACTGCAGATAAACATAATCAAATATAAGATAAGCATATCATTTTAAATATAAAAAATCTAAAATATAATTAGGATCATCATTGAGTTATAACAAAATACTTAATTATTATCTTTATAAAAATAAATTTGTATTATTAAACCGAAAACAATTTACTCACTTATTGAATCTAAAGTAAATTATAATAAACAAATTGAATTAAACAAATTACATAAAAATGAGAACTTTTAAATCGGTAATTTGATACTAATATAGATATATTTTTCACTTTTTTATGAGATCTTCAAATTTATATTTTACTCAAACATAAAAACATTATTGTTTTCTCAAGACCACATAAAACCGGATTATAACATCAACGAAGAGAAATAATAAAACAAAACATTAAATCAAGATATATCGAGCTGCATTATGTGAGTATCATTTTAGTATCTCTAAAATAAGAATAAAATCTTAAGCTATAACCAAAATATACTTTTGATTATAAGATTGATGGTTTCTAAAAAGTTTGTTTTAACCCTAAAAAAGTTTAAAATGGTTATCAAAACATTAAAATGATGTGACATGGAAACACAACTGATTTATATTGATTTATATAAAGTGTTATTCTGAATAGTCAACCTTGTGACCCCAAATGATGGTAATCTATATGCTAAAGATATATCATGGAATATGTTTGGTTGTGGAACGGATTTACGATGCTATGTGAAAATGATATGGTAGATAATATTAATTTAGAAGTAATTATTGAATGATTTTGCGTCTGGGTATACTAAAAAAACGGTTTTGTATGAATAATTAGTATTTTTTGAATTCAATGTTATTTCTGATGATAAAAACAATTAGTTGAATTTTTTTTCGTACTTATCGAAGGCCCCTTTTCACATCTCGCCGAGGGCCTATAAAACATGAGGAACGGGGATGCCTGTGCCTCCAAGAGCTCTGTCATGTCCTCGGAAATGCCTAAAGCTTCCCTTTTCATTACAATCTTTCTAAATTTATCAATCGAGATTCACTGGTCAAATCAAGTTGCAGCTGTATCTTCACTGTTGATATCTTTTTGTAGATCTTTTTAATGCATAAGATCTTTTTTGCTCATATATATTCTAGACATGGAAGAGCTCAAAGAGTTTGTCAGAAGTCAAGGTGCTCCTGAAGCCGACGAGCTGACTCATTGGGACATTACCTTCTGGAGTGAGAGGCTACGCGAATCAAAATACGAGATACATGAGGTTCCCTTTCTCTTTATCCCACATACCAACTCCCAACATAAGTTTCGATACTTGTTTGTTATATGAGTTTAGTTCACCTTTGATCTTACAAAAGAGAAACAATAGCAAAAAGGTTATTTTAATGGTACGTGATCATACTTTAAAGTTTAATTGATAGCTAAGCAGGAAAACTATCTTTTTTGGTACGTGGTCATACGGTATAACCTTTTATGAATAATGTTTATACTCGAGTTTTTGCCTAGAGACGAGAGTGAGAATTTGGACTATCGCTCTACAAAATTCATGAAACCTTAGGCACTTGCACAATGTTCTGTATATACTATGGTAACAAAAGCAACAAAGATATTTTACTGACATAAATATAATCATCATTGTAACACCCTAGTTTCTTTATTTGATAAATCTCAATATTTAAGYCTTAAATGCAAATATTTATGAGTAATTCAAGTACTCTAGCAGCTGCTACATTTAGTGAAACATCTTAATTATAAGACTAAACAAGCTAGTGATAAGTTGTTAAGGCTAGAAATGTGTTGGCAAGTCTAGTAAGCATGATTAAACAATCTAGTGATGAGTTGTTAAGGCTAGAAGTATATTGGCAAGTCTAGTAAGCATGAATAAGAAATCTAGTGATGAGTTGTTTAGGCTAAAAAAATATGAGTTGACAAGACTATTGATTACAAAACAAAGTCTAGGAAGCATGACAAGGAGTACTAAAAGCATGAGTTGTTTAGATTCTCTTATCCTTAGAGATGAGTTGTCTAGATTCTTTTATCCTTAGATGAGTTGTCTAGATTCTCTTATCCTTATTGTCTGTATTCTCTTATCCTTAAAAAATGAGTTGTCTAGATTCTTTTATCCTTCGGCCTAGCGGTATCGTAGTCCTTGGCCTCCTAGGAGGTCAAGGGTTCAAACCTCACCAACGGTGAGGAGGGTGTGTGAGTTTATTTGTTGCATTTGCCGTATATAAATATTATATATTTAAAAAAAATGAGTTGTCAAGATTCTCTTATCTTTATAGATGAGGTGTTAAACTCTCATAAGAGTACAATCTTGAGAGCAAAAAGAACAAGTAGTCAATGCAATGAATTTATCTATAAATAAGGATTGAAGGGTCACTATTTGTGCATACCAAAAATAAGAAATCTATACATAATTAAGCTTGAAGAAAGGAATCAAAGGAAAAAGTAGGCAAAATCAAGGTGAGTACTTATGTGATTTATAAGATACATGCATGCTATATATAAAAGTATTTTATGCATTACAAGTTATGTTGGCATGCTTGTTTTACATGAAAATATTGATAACCCCCGGGTCCATAAAAGGTTGCCCTATAAGGTCCGTTTGCAAGACGCCCCTTTTTGTAATATCCTGTCCGTTGGATATTATGTTTATGCATAACATGTAAAAATTTCCATGCCTTGTGTAACACATATGATAACATGTAAATGATTTTCATGTCTTGTGTGTATACTTGTATTAGAACATGTCATCATGCATATCTTGAATATGTATGTGTATTAATATTTTCATTTGAAACAAGCATGCCAACATAACTTGTAATGCAAAAAATACCTTTATATATAGCATGCATCTCATAAATCACATAAGTACTCACCTTGATTTTGTCTACTTTTTCCTTTGATTCCTTTCTTCAAGCTTAATTATGTATATATAGAGAGATTCTTTATTTTTGGTATGCACAAATAGTGACCCTTCAATCCCTATTTATAGATAAATTCATTGCATTAACTACTTGTTCTTTTTGCTCTTATGAGAGTTTAACACCTCATCTATACAGATAAGAGAATATTGACAACTCATTTCTTAAGGATAAGAGAATCTAGACAACTCATCTAAGGATAAGAGAATCTAGACAACTCATCTCTAAGGATAAGAGAATCTAAACAACTCATGCTTCTAATACTCCTTGTCATGCTTCCTAGACTTGTCTTGTAATCAATAGTCTTGCCAACTCATATTTTTTAGCCTAAACAACTCATCACTAGATTGCTTATTCATGCTTACTAGACTTGCCAACATACTTCTAGCCTTAACAACTCATCACTAGATTGTTTAGTCTTATAATTAAGATGTTCCACTAAATGTAACAGCTATCGGAGTACTTGAATTACTCATAAATATTTGCATTTAAGGCTTAAATATTGAAATTTATCAAATAAAAAAACTAGGGTTTTATAATTCTCCCATTCTTACAAGAATTTCGTCCTCGAAATTTTACTCAAAAAGATGTGGGTACTTATTCCTCATTTTTGACTCGACCTCCCATGTTGCCTCTGATCCATGAGAATAGTCCCAATGAACTAGTACCAAAATGGTACCTCCTTGTTTTGAAGTTTCTTAACTTTATGCTCAGTGATAGCTATAGGTTCTTCTACAAAGTTGAGTTTATCATCAACTTAGATATCATCAATCCGTGCTACAACGTCTTCCTTAGCAAGGCATTTCTTTAAGTTGGATACGTGGAATGTATTGTGTATTCCCATAAGCTCTTTTGGTAATTCAAGTTGATAAGCTACCTTCCCCTATCTTTTTGTCTATCCTGTAGGGTCCAATATATCGTGGTGATTTTCCCTTTTTGCTAAAACGTAGCACTCCCTTCCATGGAGATACTTCTAGTAGTACTTTGTCATCTACTTGAAATTCAATAGGCTTCCTTCTTTTGTTAGCGTAGCTTCTCTGCTTATCTTGCACAACTTTTAAGTCTTTATTTTATTTGAATCACCTTATCTGTTGTTTGTTTGATAATTTTAGGTCCAACCAAATACTTTTTACCGACCTCCGTCCAACATACATAGGTGTTCTGCATTTTCTTCCATATAGAACTTCGAAGGGTGCAGCTTGAAAACTACTATGATAGCTATTATTATAGGCAAATTTAATATGAGGTAGATGACTATCCCAATTTCTTTTTAAGTGCATTGCACATGCTGGCAACATGTCTTCCAAGGTTTGAATAGTCCTTTCACTTTGACCATCAGTTTGAGGATGATACGTTGTACTCATTTTAATCTGTGAACCTAATTCCATCCGAAAATTTCTCCAAAAATTTGAAGTAAAACGACTATCTCGATCGGAGACAATTCATATGGGTACTCCATGCCTTGACACTATTTCATCTGTATACATTTTCGCCAATTTTGTTAATGTATATCTCTCCTTCATTGGCAGGAAATGTGTGAATTTTGTTAAACGATCAATGATTACCCACATGGCATCTGAGCCTTTCAATGTTGTTGGTAGTTTTGTCACAAAATCCATAGTGATGTCCTCTCACTTCCAAACGGGTACGGTCTTTGGTGTTCAATTTTAACTTTTAACCACGTAAGACACCTTTCAATGTAATTGGTTACTGAATTTTTCATTCCTGGCCACCAATACAAAGCTTTTAAATCTTTGTACATTTTATTGCTTCCAGGATAAATATAATACTTAATTTGTGTGTTCCATAAAAAAATATTTCTCTACATTTTCCGACTTTCGGATCCATATTCGTCCTTGAAATCTTTTAATTCCCTCATTGTCAGTTTTCAGTAGTTTGATTTGTCCAGTAATTCAAAGCTTCTTGTTTTTTCTTTCCCCTTCTGGTTGTCTTCCTTCAAGCTTCTTGTTCTTCTTCACAAATTTACTCCATTATACTTGTTGTGGCTATTCCACTGAATGCCAAATTTTAATTGGTTTAACTGGTTCCTTCTGACTCAAGGCATCTGCTACAATGTTGGCTTTCTCAGGATGATATTTGATTTCACAATCATAATCTTTTAATAATTCCATCCAATGCCTTTGCCTCATATTTAACTCTTTTTAGTCAAATAAATACTTGAGGCTCTTGTGATCTATATGTAGCACACACTTCGTACCATATAAATAATGCCTCTAGATTTTTAGGGCAAAGACTATTGCGGCCAGTTCCAAATCATGTGTCGGGTGATGTGCCTCATGGTCTTTTAATTGTCTTGATGCAAAAGCAATTACTTTATTTCTTTGCATGAGTACGCATCTCAAGCCCTGTTTGGATGCATCACTGTATACTACAAAGTCCTCAACTCCTTCTGGCAAGCTTAAAATAGGTGTGCTACTTTACTTGCTTTTCAAAGTCTGAAAGGCTTCCTATTGAGTAGATCCTTACTCAAACTTAATAGCTTTCTTTGTTAATGTTGTAAGAGGTATTGCTAATTTAGAGAAATCTTGTATAAATTTGCGATAGTATCCGGCTAGTCCAAGGAAACTCTGAATCTCTGTTGCTGATTGCGGGGTTTTCCACTTTGTTATGCACTCGATCTCGCTTTAATAGTTCTAGCGTCATATTTAGTGTTGTTCATGCTCTTTTTGACTTTTGGAATAGATGAGGATATCATCAATGAATACAATGATGAATTTATCCAGGTATGGCTTACATACCCAATTCATGAGATCCATAAACATAGCTGGGGCATTAGTTAAACCAAAAGGCATAACTAGAAATTCATAATGCCCATATCGAGTTCAAAATGCTGTCTTTGGGACATGTTCCGTCTGTACTTTTGACTGATGATGATATCCTGAGCGCAAATCTATTTTCGAGAAATAACTTGCTCCTTGCGATTGATCAAATAGGTCATCTATTCTGGGTAAGGGATATCTATTCTTGATGGTGATTTTATTTAATTCTCGATAATCAAGGCACATTCTCATGGTTCCATCTTTCTTTTTAACAAATAATATTGGCGCTCCCCATGGTGACGAGCTTGGGCGAATAAACCCTTTATCAAGCAATTCCTACAACCGACTCATAAGTTCTTGCATCTCAGGTGGTGCAAGTCTGTATGGTGCTCGGGCTAGGGTATTGCTTCTGGTGCTAAATCAATATGGAACTCGACTTGTTTATCTAGGGTAACCCGAGTAAATCATCAGGAAAAACTTCTGGATATTCACATGCGACTAGTATCTTTTCTACAGGTTTCTTTTCCTTTTTAGCATCTATTACATATGCCAAATAG